TTAAATCCAGATACTTAACTAACCAGTGAGGGCACGCTGAGGTGTGAGACACCGAGCAGGTACAGGTGTTCAAGAGGCCATGCTGAATACGCTTCCGGTGCTCAGAGGGAGAATGGATTTGCCAGTAAGGACAGGAGAGACTTGAGTTCTGAGTAGATGTGATTTCTGCAGGAATGTCCATAGTAGGAAAAAAATAAAATACTCAAGACTGCAGGACCTTTGCAAAACTTCTGACTAGAAAGGCAGAAGCTGAGACCCTGAGGGAGAAGAAGGCACCTGTCCTAAGATCCACAGGCAGGACAGGGACCATGCTCCATCCCAGTTCCCAGGAGGGCCTTGGCTGTGAAGACCTGGTGTCTGACTGGCATCCTTGGCACATCAGTATTACCCAGAGGCCTCCCAGTAGAGGGTCCTTCCACAGCAGAATCTCAGGTCCCTGAGGCATGACTCGGAGCAGGTCACTTCTCCTCTCTGGGCCTGTTTGCTGTGGTTGTTGTTGTGTGCCATTGAGTTGATTCTGCTTCATAGTAACTCTGTACAAGGTTTCTAAGGAGCAGCTGGTAAGTTTGAATCACCTACCTTACAGTTAGCAGTCCAATGCTCATATTACAATACCACACCAGACTGCTTTGCTAGGTGGACAAAACGGTCTTTATGAGCCTTCCAACCTATACCTATAAATGCAGTAGCCCAAAAGAGGAAACAAGTCCCTGCTGCAAGAACTATACCCACCCCCTCCACACAAAGGGTAGACTGGGATGGGCAACTTGGACATTGGCTACCCAAAATGGGGGGAGGGATACAAAGGCAAGAAGTGACTGGCTTACAAGCTTTCAAGAGGGAACCAAGATCCAGAGGGCGTGGAGGAAGGTAGAGTCTCCAGTGAGTGGTGTCCAGCCTGTCCAGGAAGGGCTGATGAAACGAAATATAGATGGTTCTCTTGTGATGCAATGGTGAATAATTGTTATCAGGATTGATTGAGAGGGTTGGAAATCTAAAGATGGACATTTTGTAACAAAGAGGGAAGTGATTAATTTATCAGTCTAGGAGCGGAGGACCCTGGGACCATCAATGGAGAAGAGCAAAGAGTGGAATCCTACCCAGAGAGGCAGTGAGGCCTGGGACCGAGGCAGAGAAGACAACGTCAAGAGATGGTGGGGCTGAGGGCTCGGGATCAGGAGATGGAAAGGGGCTGAGGACTGTGGTGGGGGGTGGTGCAGGTTTACAGGGTACACCCCTTGGTTGGGTGAGGATGCATGGACAGGATGATAACTATGCCAATGAAATGATGGATGATGGAATGAATGTAAAGCTGATGTTCTCCCATGTAGTAGACTATCACACAATTCACAATAAAACATTAAAAAACAAAAAAAGAGCCTTCCAGTCCCAACACACTACAATTTCAACAACTGGACTCAATGAACCACAGAAAAGTGGCTGGGAACCTCAGTTAACTGGAACATTTCCCAGAAATTCCTTCCTTGGGAGAAATAGACCTACTCCAATAAATCATAGCCTTCTGTTGTCCTTGTGTGGTCTTCCTTGGTTTACAAAAGGCTTCATTCTATTCTGCTTCCCTGTGCACTCCCCACCTCTCTGTGAGACCAGCAAGGAACACAAGCCTAGCCTACTTTACAGACAAGCAGACGGAAGCTCACAACAGCCAGAGGCTTCCCCAAGGCTGCAGGAGCTGGACCCACAGCTCAGAAGTCACCTGGAAGGTCGACAATCACAGCAGTGCTGTTGGCAGAGCATGGGCCCTGATGACCACCCATGTGCAACAGAGGAAGAGGCTCTGCCAAGAAATGAGCCCCGAAGCCAGTCTGCACTCTCCTGTCTCACTGACTGGGCCTGTTGCTTTGCCTGCAAATTGAAGTCACCCATAAAAGGCCCCATCCCAACTGTGCCTCCAAGGATCCTAACAGTCTCCCAGAGTGCTCAGCGCATGAGAACACACAACAGAGACTTGTCTATGGTCCGCCCTCACCTCTACAAGGCAAAACACCTTATTGGTCATCATGTCTTCCTAAATTCAACCCAGACCAACATAGAATGGGCTTTATGGAAAGGTTTAAGGGATAGATGAAATGAGGAAGGGAGGAACAAAAAGAGGGCAAGAGAGAAGTAAAAACAGAGGAAGGAAAGAAAGGAGAAAGAATGGAAAGTAAGTATGGTACCCTGAATTTACTTGATATGGTTTTTCTATCCAAAGTCTTAATTCCTACCAAGTGATGGGGTGGGACCATGCAAATTAGGTACATACGACTTTAAGGCTGAGGTTGGTTAGTTTTGGCCTCCAGCTAGGCTTAAAAGGAGCCAGCTCAGAAGCAGAGACAGAAGATCCCAGAAACATCAAGAAGGAAGAACATGAGTGACAAGCGAGAAAATTTCGGCAGAGGCAAGGGCAGAGGCAGCAACATGGAGAGACAGAGTAGCTGTGAGCTGTAGGCCCATGGACTAAGTAAAGCTGAGTGCCTATGGGCAGAAGACTGGCTTGCGGAATGTGTCCTATGAGCATTCACAGACTGGCTAAGGAAAGCTTTGTACCATGTGCTTGAGTAAAGCAAAGGTCAAGGGACCACATGGCTGAGAAGCTAAAAACAAGAGGGGTGCCTACAGGATGGCAGACGAGAGGCATTCCTGACTGGAGAATTGCTGCACCCTGAGTGGGTTTTGATCCTGAATTGTGTCCTGTTCACTTCACCAATAAACTCCATAATCTTGAGGATTGTTATATGAGTTCTGAGTGGCCATCACAATGGATTATCAAACCCAGATGTAAATAAGAGAGTACTGTGGTTGCTCATAATAGAGTCAAGAAGGTTGGAGGGTCTGACCTCTGCTTCACAGGAATCAGTCTGGGGCTGATTTTGAGTTTAATTCTCTTTCTTCCTTGTAAAGCCAGGGGGAGTCAGACATGACTCCCATGTGGTTTTTATAGTAGGCTAGCTAGAGACACTTACAGCACTAACAGTCTATGGTTTAACAAAGCTAAGTTATAAGACAGCTCACCAACTGCTGATACAACCTTGTTTGTTGAAAGTGAAGAAGACTTGAAACACTTACTGATGAAGATTAATGTGGATTACACCTCAGCATAAATAAAACAAAATTCCACCCAACTGAACCAACAATCAACATCATGATAATCAAAGATGCTGACATTGTCAAGGACTTCATTTACTTGGATCCACAATCAACACCCATGGAAGCATCAGTCAAGAAATCAAATGATGTCTTTAACCATTACTCAACTCACAATAAAACATTAAAAGAAAGAAATCAAATAACATATTGCATTGGGAAATCTATTGCAAATGATCTCTTTAAAGTGCTAAAAAAAAAAAGCAAGGAGGTCACTTTGAGGACTCACATGCACTTGAAAGCTGGACAACGAATAAGGAAGACCACAGAACTGATGTTTTTGAATTACGGTGTTGGGGAAGAGTACTGAGGGGTCTGGACTGCCAGAAGAATGAACAAGTCTGTGTTGGAAGTAGTACAGCTAGAATGGTCATTAAAAGCCAGGCTGGTGAGACTTCCTTTTGTGTACTTTGGATATGTTATTAGAAGAACCCAATCCCTGGAGAACGGTGTGATGAATGGTAAAGTAGAGGGTCAAGGAAAAAGAGGAAGACCCTCAGTGAGATGCATTAACACAGGGGCTGCAAGAATGGGTTCAAACATAGCAATGACAGTGAGGCCGGAACAAGACCGGATAGTGATTCGTTCTGTTGTGCACGGGGTTTCTATGAGTCAGAACTGACTGGACAGCACCAACCAACAGCAACCACTAGACACAGGCACATTAACGGTGGGAAACAGCACAGCGGAGGCAAAGGGAATGAACTTCAGACAGGAAATGCCACGTTAACCCTTGGTGGTCTAGGCACAGAAGCTCAGGCCCTGAGTCCACGTGTATGAGGTCGCCAGGCTATAACCTCCTTTACAATAAAGACCTGGTGATGCTGGTGAGTAGGCCATGACTCACTCCCACCCCTGTGTTCCCCACATTACATGCCAACCAGAGGCATATCTACGGGATGGCAGGTTTGGCATGTGCCCTGGACACCGCTTGAGGGGGCACCCATAAGCAGTTTCTAGTCCTCATTGCAGTTTTCATCACCAGCTGTGAGAGATCATTCTGTAATTTTAAACTAATTGCTCTAAGCTCTATTTCCACAGCTGCCTGCACTTTCAAGCACATAGCCGGAACACGATACAGTGGGAATCTGCTGTGTTCTGGAACATAAAGAGAAACAGGTCTTATAAATAACTCCTGGTTAGAACGGAGTTGAAAATAAGGAGGCAGAAGAGGAAGCAAATTGCTGAGCGCTTACTGAGCCAATCCACTGGCTCAGAAACCTTAATGCAAATGGCTGGTCTGGTTTATTTCTTTCTCATCAAAAGACCAAAGGCAGGATTCCACCTGGAGTGTGTCCCAGCAGTGTCTGTAGGGGTGGATGGGGTCTTAGCAGATGGTCCTAACACAGCCTTGTATTATCTGCCACAGCATCACTTACTGGGCTCAGCCCTTGGTGTCACCTTGACTAATAATTCCTTGGACTTCTGGGGGCAAACCCTTCTCTGCAGAGAGGTCTGGCCTCTGGGTTGGCCATGAAGTTTAAGTTCAGAACAGCAATGTGTGGCTGAGGCCTCAGTATAAATCTCAGGAACCCAAAAGTTTGAATTCAACCCTGTCTGTACCCCCAAAGTCCCTTCTCCCTTTTTCCCACTTGCTGCGACTAGACTCCCTGCTCCCCAGTTGTGCTCTCTTGATTGCTAAAATTGAATGAAAATGTGCTTTGTTCATTTGCAACCTTCCTTTGGGCTCCCTGATCTTGAGGTGCAGTTCAATGGATGGAGACCCAGGAAGCTCGGCCCCAACCTGCCTCTGCCCAGCTTCTCACCCTTGCCTCCCATACCCATGGAGCCCACGGGAATCCAGCCCAAAGCTGAGTATTGCAGAAAGGGTTCCCTCCATGCCTGGCCTGCGACTCCCAGTCCCACCAGGAGGCACAGGAGAAGAGAAGGTTCTGGTGACCAGGGCCACAGTCCGGGTCACCTGGCCCTCCATCAGCAGCAGTTGCAGGTACCCGTGTGGACGCGGAGGATGCCACGGCTATGCAGGTGCAGGAAGTTGAAGATTTCAGAGGGCATGGCATGGAAGCCGGGCCGGGGCTTGACGTTGTCGTAGTAGTGGTGGGTGATGTAGAGGCCCGAGGGGTTCATGGGGAAGGCCCAGAAGCCAAAGAGGTGCACCTCCTCACAGAGCTCAAGCGCCGCTGTGACCAGGATGAGGCCGGTGCTGATACGCTTGGCGCGCACACCCAGGCTGAGCCAGTAGCGCGACACACTGAACAGATATTGCGGGTGGAAGTAGTAAACCGCCTGCTGCGACTCAAAGTCGTCCAGCATGTACTTGACACGGAAGGACACGTCGGTGTTGCGCGTGTTGTAGAAGGCGGGCAGCAGCACTGATGCATTCTGATAAGCCTGCAGCACGCGGTAGAAAGGCCGCCGCCACTTCTCCAGCTTGTGGAACCTGGGAAGGGGGACAGTGTGAAGGGTCTGCCACCCACCCCTCCAGGCCCCAGAGCCCCTGACTCCCTCCACCCCGCTCCCCAGCCTTTGTCAGGTGCAGAAGAGGCCAGGGGGCAGACGGCTCTCCTTAGAGCCTTCTCACCACTCACCTCACTGCCTTTCCCTAAGTCCCAGGACACACCCCCAACACATTTGTCAGTCCTGTCTCAGCCCCTCTCCTCCATCTGCCAGGTGTAGCTCACAGGCCATTGTTTACCTCCAACAGCTCTCCCTGGCTCAGCTCACACCTGCCTCAGTGCCCCTCACACTTGACTCTGCTGAAGTCCTTGTCCCCTCCTCTCACCCTTCACCTGGCCAGCACTCCCTCCCCTAAAGCCTTCAAGACTGCAGAAGGGGAGCTAGGTTGAGTATGGGATCTCTGAATAAGCTTCTCCTCAATGCCACTTGGCCACATGGTACTGTACCCCTGGTCACACAATGAAAAATTCTAGGCCCCAGATCAGCGCTCTCCAATCTTCTAGTAACCACCATTTCAGTCTAAATTATAGTTGATAAATATTTATTCAAATACATAATAGGTTCCCTGGTGATACAAACGGTTAAGTTCCTAGTTACTAGATGAAAGACGGGTTGTTTCAACACACTCAGAAGCGCCTCAGAAGATAAGTCTGGCATTCTGCTTCCAAAAGCCTTGAAAATCCTATAGAGTACAGTTCTATTCTGCACACATGGGGTTGCCGGGAGTCCCGACTGACTTAACAGCAACCAACCTATTAAATACCTACATAATATACAATATTTCTATTTAAAGAAACATTGTTGTTAAGTGCCGTTGAGTCCATTCCGATTCATAGCAACCCTATATGGACTTACGAGGAGCAAATGGTGAGTTTGAACTTCAGTGTTCAAGCCGACCTTGCAGTCCAGGACTTAACCTACAGCACCACACCCGGTAAATTCATTTTTATGTTTTATTTAACCTGATGATTCAAAATACTCTTTTCAACATGTAATCAATATGAAGATTAGTGAGATACATTGCATCCTTTCTTTCACAGGAAGTCTCTGAAATGCCGTGTGTGTTTTACAAATATCACCTTGGGGTCTGCGCCAGCCATATCTCACGTGATCAGTAGCTGCACATGACTAAATGGCTACCATACTGGATGGCAAAGCTCTGGAAAGAGGGATACTTACCTGTCCATGATGATGCTGGGGTTCACGGTGACCACATCTGTCTTGATCCCCACGTCTACACTGTACTTCTCCGAGATGGGGGGCAGATTGCACCTGCAGAAGAGACCAGGCATCCCAATAGCAGGGGGTCAGTCAGTCTATAGGAGGCACTGGGAATTGGGCGAGGGCAAGGGGCAGGAGGGATGGTGGCCACAAAGCAGAGGGCTGCATATTCCCGTGATTATGGTCCTTTTGCTCTGAGCCAGGTACTGGGAAAGCAGACAGGCCTGGTCCAAGGTCTTGATGAAATTCTAATCACATGGGACAGAGAGACCACCATCTGAAATATGTGGCTACAAGCTGCTGTACGTGCTTTTGAGGACAGGATCATGCTCTGGAAGGGTAGAGAAAACTCCATTAGCCTGGGAGTCAAGGGGCTTCCCTGATGAGGTGAGGAATGGGTGAGGTCTGAAGGAAGAAGTGAACAAAGTCCATTGGCCCTACATGAACCATAGCCTCCACCACCTTGAGATGAAGGAAGAAGTAAACAAAGTCCATTGGCCCTACATGAACCATGCACGGCCTCCGCCACCTTGAGACAAAGGAAGAAGTGAACAAAGTCCATTGACCCTACATGAACCATAGCCTCCGCCTCCTTGAGACGAAGGAAGAAGTGAACAAAGTCCATTGGATGTACATGAACCATGGCCTCCGCCTCCTTAAGACGAAGGAAGAAGTGAACAAAGTCCACTGGCCCTACATGAACCAAGGTCTCTGCCACCTTGAGACCAGAGCTCGATGGTGCTTGGCTACCACTCCTGACCGTTCTCATCAGGAACACAATAGATAAATCTTGATCAAAAGGGAAAGACATGTGGAACCAAACTTCAAATTCTGACAGAATTTAACTGGACCGCAAGGTCGGTTTGAACTACAGGGTAGGCAGCTCAAACACACAGTCATTCCTTGGAAACTCTATACAGGGTCACTATGAGTCGACACCCTCTCAACAGCATTTACCGACAACAACTGAGACTGGAGGAATCACCAAGGCATGGCCCTAAATTGCTCTTCAAATCTTGAACTAAAACTAAGCCCTGAAGTCACAATTAAGTAACAGTTTAGTCCAAAGACTATCCTCACCTTTGAATATTGTGGGGGGGTTTCTAATTGCCTATATGAGATGAAAGGGTCAACATCTATTTTAAAACATAGATGAGAAGGCTGTGGGAACAGGAAGATTAAGTACAATTTGGGCCCTCCGTGTTCATGGCTCCATATCCATAGATTTAACCAACTACAGATTGAAAATTCAGGAGAAAAAAAGAAAAAGTAATCTGCCAAAGGCTAAGGTGGTGGTGATGGTTATGTGCCATGAAGCCGGTTCCCACTCATAGTGACCCTGTACAGGGTTTCCAAAGCTGTAAATCTTTACAGAAGCAGAAAGCCTCATCTTTCTCCTGTGGAACTGCTGGTAGTTTCAAACTGCTGACTGTGAGATTAGCAGCCTGGCTCGTAACCACTCTGCTAGCAGAGCTCCTTAAAGGCTAAGAGGGACAGTAAAGTGCTATTTACATAGCATTTAAATTGTATTAAGGAGTGCTGGTGGTGCTTTAATGTAAGCACTGGACTGCTAACCACAAAGTCAGCAGTTCGAACTCACCAGCCGCTCCTCAGGAGAAAGATTTACAGCCTTGAAAACCCTATACTGAATTGGAATTGACTTGATGGCGGTGAGGTGGTTTGGTTTGGGTTTATATTGTATTAGGAATTATAATCTAGAGACCATTTAAAGTGTACAGGAGGATGGGAATAGGATAGATGCCAATAATACACCATTTTATATAAGGGATTGAGCCTCGGAGAAGGCAGGCAGGACCTAGAACCCATCTCCTGTGGATACCAAAGGATGACTGGAAGCGGAAATGAAGCCCCTAAGACAGAAATCCTAAGAATGTTGACACAATATGAAGAGTACAGCAATGTCTCTTGTCTATTAGTCTAGAAGTGTGGTGTGGGCGTGGATGTTGTTGTGTATATTTTCACACAAAAATTCAATTAAGAAATTCATTGTCAGAGGTCAAAATAAATATGGGATCTATGAGATGCAGCCCTGGTGTGGTGCTGTGGGTTAATGCGCTGGACTGCAAAGTCGGTGGTTCAAGCTCACCAGCGACTCCTTGGAAACCCTATACAGGGTCAATATGGGTCAGAAGCAACTTGTTGGCATTTAACAACAACAATAACAACATTCAAGGATGACACCAGAAATGCAAATATTGAGTGGAAAATAAAACCAAGTTGCAGAAGTCTATATGTGGAACACCATTTTTAAAACCCCCTGTGATATCTCTCACGTAAACCCACATAATTCACAATAAGAGACTAATGGCATGACAGATGAGCGGGTTAATGCACTGGTTACAAGGTCGGTTTGAACCACAATGTAGGCAGTTCAAACACATCATTCACTCCTCGGAACCCTAAACTGGGTCACTATGAGTCAGAACCACCTTGACGTCCCTTAACAAAGATGGCCACACCTAATCCCCAGAATCTATGACTCACGTTACCTTACATGGTAAAAGGGATTTTGCAGTTGTGCTTAAGGATCTTGAAATGGGAGATTATCCTGGAGGACTGTAATCCCAAGGGAATTTATAAGGATATGGCAATAGGAATTTAGAGAGGAAAATGATGTGACTGACGTAAGCACAGTGTGAGAGAGGAACTGGAAAGTACTATACTGCTGGCCTTGAAGGGCCCACAAGCCAAAGAGAAGCAAGGAAATCGAGTCTTCCCTGGCACCTCCAGAAAGGAACACAGCTCTGCCAACACCTTGATTTTAGCCCAAGGAGCCTTCTGGCCTCCGGAACTAGAAGATAATATGGGTGTATTGTTTTCAATCACTACATTCACCATCATTTGTTACAGCAGCAGTAGGAAACTGATGCAGCCCCTAAATAAGCAAAATTAAACAATAAATTGTTTAGAGCTATATCTACACATGATAAAACCCATTTTTAACAAGCAGGAAGCGATAATTACAAAACTCAGAGTGGGGATGGGGAAGGAGCACATCAGCCAGTCAATGACTTTGAGAACATGTGGTTTCTTGAGATGAATAGTTGGCTCACTCATTTGCTTCATGTTTACCTCTGTGGTACACACATTTTTTTTGTCTACATTAAATACTGCACAGTCAATGAATGACTAACACATTTTGAAAATGAGCAGATGGTAATGGGGTGAAGGTTGAAGTCGTGAGCCTCTATGCAAAGGTCCTTTGGTGGAGAGAGCAAAGAGCATCCAGAGAGTGAGTAGCTGAGCCTTGAGGCTGTAGCACAGAGTGGTGCAAACTGAGAGCAGAGAAGGAGGAAGGGGCTAGACCAGGAAGGGCTAGTCATCATATTAAGAATATGGTCCTTTATACAAGGAGAAGCCATGAGTTTAACAGGCCTTATCTGACAAAGTCAGGACTGTCTCATGATCCAACCCCACCCCTGTTTATCCGACCATCAGCAAAGGTGGGGTTTATATTCCTCTTAAAAATAAGGGGCATGTTTACAGCCAACTACACTTCTCACTATGAGTAAGAAATGATTTGATGGCATTGAGTTGTTGAGTTATGACACCTAGAAATATTCACAGAATTAAACAAAACATCAACGACCTTTCTTTTTGTTGCTAAGTGTTGTCTGAGACTCATAGTGACCCCATGTGACTGAATAGAACTTCCCTGGAGGGTTTTCTAGGCTGCAATCTTTAGAGAAGGAATTCTGGTGGCACAGGTGGTTAAGCACTGGGTTGCTAACTTTTAGATTGCCAGGTTTTTCTCCTGAGGAGCCACTGGGTAAGTTCAGACCACCAACCTTTGGTTAGTAGCCAAGTGCTTAACCATTGCACCACTAGGACTCCTTTCAATAACCTTGGTTGTTATTGTGTGCCAACTCTGATCCACAGAAACTCTACAGGACCCAGTAGAACTGTCCCATAGGATTTCCTAAGGTGAAATATTTCCAGGAGCAGATCACCAAGTCTTTCCTCCTACCGAGCAGCTGGTGAGTTTGAACCTCTGACTCTGGTTAGCAGCTGAGCACTTAACCATTGCCCACGACAGATGAAAAATCAAACAGTGAGAGAGGTCAAGGGACTTGTTGCTATTAAGGTAGATGCAGGTGGTAGAAGCTTCTGACTCCAAGTCAGCACTCCTTCCCAACACAAGGCCATCCAATATGGCAATGCCCTGAATGTGGTGAAGACTCAACACACTTTGGTATACATAGGCAGACACTCACTACAACTTTGTTACTGCTACTGCATGACTGTTAATGACAATGGTGAGACCAAAGAAAGGGCCCATGTCCCCTGCAAAGCTATGTGCAAACAACTGTGGTCTGTACCGCATCTTCTTGTTGTCAAGTGCCATCGACTCAGTTCTGAGTCATAACAACCCTGTTTAGGGTTTCCAAGGAGAGGCTGTGGATGAGAATCACTGGCCTTGTGGTTATCTGTCCAGTGCTTATCTTACAGTGCCTCACCAGGACACACATATATCTGATAGTCAGAGTCAAAGAGATACCATGGCATGTATCTCTGGTGATGTAACAGTTAAAGAGACACTTGGCTGCTCACCAAATGGCTGGTGGTTTGAAACAACCCATTGACTCCATGGGAGAAAAATTTGGTGATCGGCTCCCATTAATGATTACAGCCATATAGAGCAGTTCTACTCTGTCACATGGAGTCGCTACAAGTCAAAAGTCACGCGACAGCACCTATCAACAAGAGCAAAAAGAATTCAAGAACACAAATGTGTCCCCATTTCTAAAGAAGGTATCCCTGCCCTGAAATTGTTCAACTGTGAAAGATAACATTACTTACTATAACATAACTTCGTATGTGTCCTGAACTCTTAGAAGGTTTTATACCTTTGAACCTTACTAAAGGGGCCCTGGTGGCACAGTGGTTAATGTCTCAACTGCTAATGGAAAGGTATGAGGTTCAAGCCCACTCAGCTGCTGCAAGGGAGAAAGACCTGGGACCTGCTTCCATACAGATGACAACCTAGGAACCCTATGGGGCAGTTCTGCTCTGTCGCCTGGGGCCACTATGAGATGAAAAGCACACAATGGCATCCAACAGCAACATTAATTAACTTATTCACTGCATCCTCATCCTAACCCCAAGGGGTAGAGACTGCAATGACATCATCATCTTCCCTTTCAGGAAGCAGAGGCACAGATGGTTAGGCAGTTTGTCCAGAAAGCAAAAGGGCACAGAGAGGAGGAGGGCACGGGGTAGAAACGGAAGGTGCAAACACAGGGTGATCCGTTTACCGGAACACGAAGTCGGCACTGTTGATCTCCCTGCCGCATCGGCTGTTCTTCAGGATGCCTCCATTGCCTACCACCGCACACTTCTTAAACTGGGACCGGTAGTAAGGCATGTCCTGGGGGAACAGACAGAGGTACAGTTGTCAGCCCAGCCCCTTCTTCCATCTGGTGCCCACCCTCTGTAACCACGTGCCCCTCATCCTAGCCCATGGCCCCACGAGGCAGCCTTTTAGGGAGTATGGGAGCAGAAGTTTTTCCATTTCCCAGAAGAGAGAAGTGGTCAGGAACTTGTCAATTACTCAGGCAGTGAATGAATGAACTTGAAATGGCCTTGATCTCCAGTCTCTTTCAAATAATCCTGGGAGGCCGTAGGTTTCCAGTAAGAAGTGAGGATGGCCATCCTTGCTTGACGCTATTTGGAAGGTTCAGCTCTCTTCTGCCTTTGAATATTCATGTCAAAATGGCTAATGGAGATATCCTGGAGGGAACCAGCAGCAGAGACTCCCCAGGGACAAGGACCCTAAGCCTGCCTCTCATTCCTTTCCACTCAGGATGAGGTGCAGACTGTGTCTCTGCTCCATAGAAGGACCAGGCCCAGGGTAGAAATGTCACACTCCCTGGCACAGATGCTAGTGCTTAGCGGCAACAAGCACAAGATACCAGGGAGTGAGCGAGCAAGGCTACCATGTCAGAGGGGAGTGGTGAGAAGCTGGGATAACTGGGTTCTCTGTGGGTGAGAACTCTGAGTGTGAGGAGCCCAGGTTTTGATATGAGTGAGTGTGGCACTGGGCACTCACTGGGAATGACCTTGGTCTGGATGCTGGCGGCTTTCCTGGTAAGTTGGCAGCAGGAAGAGCACCAACCTGAGCATTACAAGGCTTGGTTCTGCCATGTCCCCTCTAAACCACAGTCCGTCCTGAACAACCTGAGGCAGGTAGAGTGGAACTGCCACATGTTACAGGGAGAAACAAAGGCCTGGGGTCAAGGTTGTTGTTGTTGTTGTTAGGTGCCATCGAGTCAGTACCGACTCATAGTGACCCTATGCACAACAGAATGAAATATTGCCCGGTCCTGGGCCAACCTGACAATTGTTGCCACACTTGGCCAATCCATTCCGCTGGGGGTGTTCCTCTTTTTCTCTGACCGTCCATCCTTCTCCAGCGACTGGTCCCTCCTGACAATATTTCCAAAGTATGAGAGATGAAATTTGGCCATCCTGGCCTTCAAGGAGCACTCTGGCTGTACTTCTTCCAACACAGATCTGTTTGTTCTTTTGGCAGCCCATGGTACTTTCAATAGTGTCCTCCAACACCATTACTCAAATGCATCAATTCTTCTACGGTCTTCCTTATTCACTGTCCAACTTTTGCATGCATATGAGGGTATTGAAAATACCATGGCTTGGGTCAGGCGCACCTTAGTCCTCAAGCTGACATCTTTGCTCTTCAACATTTTTAAAAGGCCTTGTGCAACAGATTTGCCTAATGCAATACGTCGTTTGCTTTCTTGACTGCTGCTTCCTTGAGTGTTGGTGGTTAATCCAAGAAGAATGAAGTCCTTGACAACTTCAATCTTTTCTCCATTGATAAGAATGTTGTTTATTGGTCCAGTGGTGAGGATTTTTGTTTTCTTTATATTGACATGCAATCCATACCAAAGGCTGTGGTCTTTGATCTTCATCATTAAGTATTTTAAATCCTCTTCACTTTCAGCAAGCAAGGCTGTTCATGAGTCTTCCTCCAATCCTGATGCCATGTTTTTCTTCATATAACCCAGCTTCTCATATTATTTGCTCAGCATACAGGCTGAATAAGTATGGTGAAAGAATACAACCCTGTCGCACACCTTTCTTAATTGGAGTCAAGATGGCGGTGACCAACCATCCTGATCAGCCAAGACTGAGCACTCCCAGGATACAAGACTTCAGTGCTAACTCCAGGAAAGTCCTGGCAAGTCGGGATGAGTTGGGAGCCAAGTCAAAAGACGAGTTTAGTCCTGCTTTTGACCCACACCAAGTTCAGGGAACCATGGTTAAGTTGTTGGAGCTCTTAGAGATTTCATTTTCCCATCTGCAAAATCAAGTTAATAATGTTTGTGTCTCCTGAGACTCCAGTGAGATTGGGTAAAGCAGGTTCCTCAACTTCAGCATTACTGACATTTTGGACCAGGTAATTGTTGGATGGGGGCTGGAGAGGGGAGCTGAATTGTGCATTATAGATGATGTTTAGCAGCAACACTGCCTACCATCAAAAATATCTCCAGACACTGCCAGATGTCCCCTGAGGTACAAGTGCCCCCGGGTGACAACTTCTGGTATAAGTGAAGAACTTGGCCCAGAGGCAACTCAGCAAAGAGGACCAGGTTGTTATTATTAGATGCCCCTGTGGGTTAATGTGCTGGACTGCATGGTCAGTTTGAACTGTGTGATCAACAGTTCAAACTCACCAATCACTCCTCAGAAACTGTATACAGAGTCGTTATGAGTCGGAACCGACTTGACAGTACTTAACAACAACAACAACATCCCTTCCAGCTCTGGCACCCAGGAGCTTCCAGGCAGTGTCCTTCCTACTTGCTCCAACTGGCCAATCATCACTGTGCTGGATGGTCAGCACCTGGAGCTTCCAGAGGACCAACTGCCAGAACGGGTTCTCGTGAAGACTCACGTGGCATTGGCTCATCATGAACTCTGCTCCGTCTATAGTCTGCACCCTTATTCACGGCCCATTGCTCCTGGAGGGACCGGCCCAGGGGGCCAGCACAGGAACAAGGTTGCCTAACAAGGGCTGGTGGGGAAGCTGCACTGTTTGACCAGAGGAAGAGAAAAACTCAAAGTCATCTTTGGAGAAATCATCATCAAAGACTTATGAAGTTTTATGCAGTGTTTCCCAAACTTCTGTAAGTTAAGAACTACCTGAGATACTGTTTGAAAATGCAAATGTTGGCACTTTATCTCAGGGACCTCAGAATCAGAGTCTTCAGGGGTGGGAGTAGATGGCTGGGAAGCTGTATGTTTTCAGATCTGAAGAAACACTTAACTCTTTACAACCTTTGAATATATACTATGACTCTTGTGCCACCTCAAGCACACATGCCTGAGGTAAGAAAACTGCTTACTCCTTTTCTCAGCTATCTGCCCAATATCCTATGGAAACAATGCAATACCCAGTCCTCTATAACCACTTCCATATCACAAGTCACTCCAATGATAGCCAGCTGGCATTCAGTGTGCTCAGACAAGATCCCAAGGAAACCCAGATGGTGATCTCCTAGACTTAGAAAGTGGCCAACTGGGCTCCGAGGCAAAGGCAGGGACGCACCACCACATAGCACTGCTCCATCGCCCCTCCCCCCCCAGGCCACCCTGTCCCCCAGGGCAGTGGCAGTAGTACCTTGGGGAACATGCGGAAGATTTCCTGGTTGATGTGGTAGATGCCGCTGGAGTCCACTTCATACTTGAGCTTGGTCCCCAGGGGAGTGTTCTTCTGGGTGGTGAAGAGGAAGGAGGGGGCATTGCAGCACCTGGACAAAGTGGACCTGTCGGGAGGGAGACAGATGGCAGAGACTGGAGACACTGGGCAGAGCAAAGCACAGGAAGAAAAGAGCTGTGACCCGAGGGGAGCCTGGGGAACTGTCATTAATTTAGCCAGGTGTCTGCGGGGTCATCTCCACCCTCCATCCTCCACACCCTTCAGTATTCCTCTCAGTGCCTGGGCTGGTCCTTCCCGCCTCTCCTGACGCTGTTCAGTCAGGGCCCAGAAGCTCCTGGCTGCTTCTGCCCCACAGACCACACTGCCACTGAAGACTGTGGACCCCACATCTCCATCCACCAAATCTCTCCCCAGCTGGAGAGGGAGCCCGTTGATGGTGGGGCACATGACCTCTATGTCCTGCACAATGTCAGTCACGTGAGGGTTCAATACCTAGTTCAACACACAGGGTCCTCAAACCTCACTCAACGTGCCCTCGAGATCTGCTAAAAATCCCACAACAACTTCCCAGAAATTTTATTTCTGCTCCACCCATCCAGTCCTCACAGAAAGCCCAGAGGAGCAGAGTCATCCTCAGTTCCCTGATCTCCACAGCAGATATTGCACACGGTGCTTTCAGGGTACAAAACAAAGACACACAGAGTCCCCAGAAATGTGCCACCTCCAGTATTCTGAAGGTGTTTTAGGAATAGAGGAGGGCTAGGAACTGGGATGAGGGTTGATGCTGGATGACCTTCTGAAGAAAGCGGATTGTGGTTTCTAAAAGAAGAACTTATTGTTACTAATTGCCACTGAATTAATTATAGCTCATAGTGACCTCATGTAACAGAGTAGAACTGCTCCATAGGGTTTTGTTGCTAGGATAAGTACTGAAGTGCTAACCGCAAGGCCAGCAGTTCGAACCCACCACTGCTCCTCAGAAATCCTACACAGGGTCGCTATGAACTAGAACCAATTTGATGGCTCGTAACTATCTTAATAGAAGATCAGCAGGTTCTTTTTCCACGGTATCACGAGGTAAGTTCAAACCATCAATCTTTAACAGTCGAGCACCATTTACACCACCTGTTGTCTGTTGTTAAGTGCCATCAAGTCAGAGAGCCCCTGTATTGGGTTTCCAAGGAACGGATGGTAGGTTTGAACTGCCAACCTTGCTAGTCAAAATGACTTTGTGGTCCAGTGCTTATCCTACAGCACCATACACCAGGACCCCTGGCAATACCTAGGGATCTTTAAAATCAGTACTTACGACGTGGTTTTGGTTTTGGTTTTGGTTTGGAATTCTCTGAAGTTTTCACTCCCCAAAACCACGCTCAAACATGAGCTATAGAAGAGGTAAAGCTCAGATGCAAGCTGACTTTAAATACAGCCTCCAAGGGAGACTGTAGTTGACAAAGCAGACTTGGGAGTGAGAAAAGACCAATTTTTCTGGTCTCTAAAGTTGGTGTTTCACTCAGCACACATTACCCAAGGTGTGCCCACCACACTTGGTTAAAAAATTGGATCCTGGACACATCTTACTCCCCAGTCCTAGGATCCCAAAGCCCTCCACCCTGTCCAAGGAGACAAGATAGTGTTCTCAGCTCCCTGCCAGAGGCCCCACGTTTAGCCCCATGTTTCTCATGCAACATCATTTTCCTGTTGCTGTATGATTTCTTTAATGTGCTCAACCTGGACCACACCTTTGTGACTCTCCCTGACCTGGACCATGCCAAGTGTCTTATCCGCCATGCCTTCAACACATACGAGTCTCACCCATACCCAATCCACGTGAAAACACTTTGATGGTGGTGGTGGTAGTTATGTGCCGTGGAGTCGGTTCTGACTCATAGTGACCCTGTACAGGGTTCCCAAGGCTGTAAATCTTTATGGGAGCAGAAAGCCTCATCTTTCTCTGGTAGTTTCAAACAGCTGACCTTGACAGACACACTTAGAGAGGACAAATTTCAGGCCACACCTGCATCAGTCTGCAATCTGCTCCCTACCCCTCCACCACTTCACTCAGATTCATGCTCCACTTTAATGACATGCGGATCTCTGCAAACAACGGTTAGGCCTTGGCTAGGTTTCTGCCAATTCACGGGTGCCTCTGATGTGGGGCTGTGGGTACTGTCTCTTCAGGGATTATCATTTTAAAGATTCCCGTTTCTCAAAACAGTTTGTTTAAAACTACTATTTTCTAATAGTGAGAATGGCTATACCATTTTTAGTATGTAATTTGTGTCATTGAATTGTATATGCAAAAACTGGGAATAGGTAGATGTTTGGTTGTATATATTGCAACTTAAAAACAAACAAACAAACCACCGCCTACTATTCTGTCTCTCTACAGGTGACCTAGAATTGGAGCAAGCTGGAATCAATGATTTATAAAGGAAACTCAAACTACTTAGTGATAATTCCCTTTCCATAGCTTCCCCCGCCCCCCCCCAGCTCCTTCATGCTAATAGCGACTCCATACATAATCCATTGCACAAATTCCCAGGATCACATCTATTCCATCAAATAAGGTCTAAATAACAGTCTAAACTCAGTGAATGGTAGAGACAGAAAGATCCCTAACCCAAACGCAAGCCCACTGCCCAGTCGATTCCCACCCACAGAGACCCTGGAAGACAGAACAGAACTGCCTTATAGCGTTTCCAGGGCTATAAATCTTGATGGAAGCAGCCTGCCACATCTTCCTCCTGCAGAGTGGGTGGTGGGTTCAAATCGCTGATCTATCAATAAGCAGCTGAATGCTTAGCTACTGCATCACCAAGACTCCTCATGGACCCTAAAACTCACCATTAAAAAAAAAAAAAAAAATGGTTGAACGTCTGCTGTCTGCTTAGCTCTAAGATAAGAGAACTCTTCTAGGATTGCCTCTGTCAACGTTGGTTCAAGAGCAATTAGAAGTGCTTGAACATCTGGTATGGGCTGAGAGAACTGAGGAGCTCAGAGCAGAGCTGAAATTGGCTACGTTAGAGCCACTGTCTCAAAGTGGGGAGGCCAGTGCTGTGCTGCTCTGGAGGGGCCACTTCACTGCTCTGAGCCTACAATAAGCCCTACTGTATACCACGGTGGCTTCACCAACCTGCAAGGCCTAAGGGAGAGGACATGGAGAATGGCCCCTGCCTACACCCCAGATTCCAAAGCCCAGCCCCAGCCATCTCTGAGGAAGATGTCACAGAGAGCTGGACCCAGAGGGTGAGGTGGGTGTGAGGAGCACCCCATAATCAGGGGCTGGGGAGGCCAGGTGATTCATAGATACTTGAACTGTTTGGCTTCGGTGATGTTCATTGCCCACTTGCACATCTGGAGGTTCTTCCATCTGTCAAACAGTTCCGACTGCTTCACCCTGCGGAATGCAGACAGGAGAGCATAAGAGCACTGAGCTGCACACAAAGATGTACCCTGCCAACACCTGGGCTGGTCCCTCCCCAGAAGCCCACCCACCAGGGTCTGCACACTTCCCCAGGAACGTGTCTGTGGAGGGAGGAAGGCCACGAAGGGTCTTGTGACAGCTAAGTGTCTATAATACATCAGCACTGAGCTAGCGCACAGTAGGGCTCAGGACAAAGATGTGCCCTTCTCTTCCCGCCTCCTCAGACAGCTCACAATGTCCTAAGGGCAGCAATGAGAATCCAAATGATACCCCTTCTCTCTGCACGACCACGCACAGTGTTTACCCTGGTCTATGTTTCTACATCTCAACACTGTGACAGCCTCAAACATTCTCAGCCAAAGCATGCCCACATCATGCAGGAGTCTCCCTATGATTGGAACCAACACTCACACTCAAAAAGATTTTAAATGATCAATTTATGCTTGCATATTTACCATTTTACGTAGGGCCGCACTGATTCAGAATTGACTCTATGACAATGGATTTAATGGTAATGGGTTTATGACTGATCCAATGCTGTACACCCAGCTGCTACATCAGTGCACAGCAAAATAATTATCTGTTGAATGAATGAATGAATGACCCAAAGCAAAGATACAAATTCCCCTGCATCCTAGCAGACCAAGATGGGATCCTTCCGCACATTAACTGCAAGCAGTCGCTTCTCATCCTAGGAGCCCAAAGCCACACCCCCACCCCTCGCTCCCACATATGCTTCAGCCTTTGTCACTTGTCACCCATCTTTGGTTCCTTCCACCCTACTTCAGTCAAGAGATTCTTCCTTGAGTTCTACCCAACTCCTTCCTGTTTTCACTTATGTTTTGGTTCCGAGGGTAAATGATTCTCTTATGCTATAGAAATGCCCAGAATTTTCTCAGTGTCTGATAGTTTCAGTGAGGCCATGAAGTCCAGGAGTAGGGGAGTCCCTCTGGGGCATGGTGGCAGGACACTTCATACCATGGAGTTGCTCTAGGCAACAGTATTAGTGGATGCTAGCAAAGAAACCCGGCATTTTTAGAAATGGGGAAGCTGGCTCGGCCTTAGGGCCACTGAGGCTCATTCAGCTTTGTTCTCTGGGGTCCTCTGCCTACAAGGTCACTGCCTCAAACACTTCCCAGGCCCTGGCAACACTCTAGGTTAGGGTTCCAAGTACTCGACTGTTACCAAAATATGGGCCCATTTTCTGTGGCTTCAATACACTGCCATCCAGGGGACAGAGGTCGAAGGTTGGACACCCAGCCTCAAATCCTGGCTCCATTTCCAGCCTGCAGTGAGACCTCACACAAGTCACTTAATTCTTGGAGACTCACCTGCTTTAGATAAAATGGGTATAATAACCTCTGCCCTGCCAATCTCAAAGGTTGTCAGAGAGATCAAATGAGACAATATGTGTAAAGATTGTTTATATACTGCTTTACAGAGTCATCTTTAAAGGTGAAAGGCTAACCCCAGACACTAACCTCTTTTCTACTAAGACACGGCTAAAATTCCAGAAAAGGGAAAAAAAAAAAAGGCATAACACTACCAAGTGGACAGAATGATGGGGAGGTGGATCTTAGTGGAAAAGATAATTCAACCCAGTTACGGAAAAAGGGGGATAACACAAGGAGAGGATGGCACAGCCCTGAGGACCAAGAGGCCACCTGCCCGGAAATCTCCAATGGGAGGTGTGTGTGTGGTTAAATGAGTATTAATTGTGAGTCTGTGAGTCGGAACTGACTCCACAGCATATAACAACAACAACAAATCCAGAACTCAAAGGAGCTCTGGTAGCGTAGTGGGTTACGAGTCAGACTGCTAACCAGAAGTTAAAACTACCAGCCACTCCTTAGGAGAAAGATGAGACTTTCTGCTCCTGTAAAGATCTGCAGCCTTGGAAACCCTATACAGTGTCACTATGAGTTGTAACCAACTCCCCAGCACATAACCACCACCACCACCACCATCCAGAAATCAAGCATCTGTGTCCAGAATATCAAGTCCCCTGAGTACAAACAATCAACTACGGAATGTGCAACAGCAGGAAGAGGGATGACAGAGTCAGAAAGTTTATTCCTCTCTTAAAAAATAATAATCGCTCCCCATGAAAACATCATACAAGCAAAAGGGCCAACAGAACTTGAACAACTCTCAAGGTACACCTGCCAGTCAACTCCCAGGCTCTCATACACAGAATTCCTGTCCGCTTTTTATATTAAAGTTAAATATAAACAGATAAACTAGGATTACCTGGTCAATCTGAAGGAGACAAAGGAAACCACCAGATAAAATAACCACAGAGAAAAATGACTGGAGAAACGAAACAGAACTTCTTATTGTTGTTAAATGCAAACATATGCACAACAGAATGAAACACTGCCAGGTCCTGTACCCTCCTCACAACTGGCGTGACGTTTGAGTCCACTGCTGCTACCACTGTGCCAATCCAAACTGTTGTGGGTTTTCCTCTTTTTCACTGACCCTCCACTTTATGTCCTTCTCCAGGGACTGGTCCCACCTGATAACATGTCCAAAGTATGAGAGACAAAGTCTCACCATCCTGGCTTCTCAGGAGCATTCTGACTGTACTTCTTCCAACACAGATTTGTTTGTCCTCCTGGCTGTTCATGATACTTTCAATATTCTTATCCAACACCATAACTCAAATGCATCAATCCTTCTAGTGACCTTATCTAGGGTTTCAGAGACTGTAAATCTTTATGGGAGCAGAAAACTTCATCTTTCTCCTGTAGAGTGGCTGGTGGGCTCAAACCACTGACCTTGTAGTTCACAGTCTGGTGCTTATTCAACAGAGCCATCACACTTTCAAAAAGAACTAACCAAAATAAATAAATAACTTTACTTAGTCTCCTAAGAGAAATTCAAGAAGACATTGTTGTTGTTGTCAGGTGCCATCGAGTCAGAACCAACTCATAGCGACCCTATGCACAGCAGAATGAAACAATGTCCGATCCTGGGCCAACCTCACTACCACTGTCACACTTGAGTCCATCAATGATGCCACCTGACTGATCCATTTCATTGGGAGTCTTCCTCTTTTTCTCTGACCCTCCATCTTACCCAGCATGACATCCTTCTCCAACGACTGTTCCCTCCTGACAATATGTCCAAAGTATGAGAGACGAAGCTTAGCCATCCTGGCCTCCAAGGAGCACTCTGGCTGCACCTCTTCCAAGAAGACATTATGTTCTTAAAATAAGAACACACTGTTCTGAGAACAATGAAAGAGCTCATAGAAGAAGCAAAGTTCATCAGAAGGGCCAGAATGTAAAGTCAAGGAATTGCCCTAGTAAGTAGAAACCAAGGACAAAGAGATTTTAAAAAAGAGAGAGAGATTAAAAAAAGATATGGGTATTGTGATGATTAATTAGCAACTAGGGTCTGAAAAGCTAGCAAGCAGTCAACTAAGATGCAACTGTTGGTCTCTCCACATCTAGAGGAAACAAGAGTGAAGAAAATCAAAGACTCAAGGAAACAATCAGTGCAAAGAAATTAGAATGCAAACTACAGTCTCCACTCCCCTGAGATCAGAAGATCTAGATGGTGCCCAGTACCACTACTGGCCACTCTGTTGGGACCACAGACGGTCTGGGACAGAATAGGAGAAAAGGGTAGAACAAAATTCAAAATCATAAGAAAGACCCAACTAACTGGTATGATAGAGACTGGTAGATCCCCAAGAATGTGGCCCTTGGACACCCTTCAAAGCTGGAACTGATGCCAACCCTGGGATCACCTAGCAGCCCAACAACAGACAGATATCATCCCACAGCTCTTCTGGTCTTCGGTCTTTAGTGTTGAATGTATCAAATCTGATCAAAGTGTTCAAGAGCAAAGATATCAGTTTGAAGACTAAGATAACTTGGCCCAAACCATGACATTTTCAATAGCCTCATATATACATCTGAAGGTTGGACAATGAATAAGGAAGATCATAGAAGGACTGATACATTTGAGTTACGGTGTTAAGAGAAGAATATTGAAGTACCATAGACTGCCAGAAGAACAAACAAATCTATGTTGGAAGAAGTACAGCCAGAATGTTCCTTAGAAGCCAGAATGGCGAGACTTTGTCTCTCATACTTTGGACATATTATCAGGAGGGACCAGTCCCTGGAGAAGGACATCATGCTTGGTAAAGTAGAGAGTCCGAGGAAAACCACTAATGAGATGGATTGGCACTGTGGCAGCAGCCATGGGCTCAAGTGTAACAATGGTGAGGATGGTGCAGGACCAAACAGTGTTTCATTCTGTTGTGCTAATGGTGGCTATGAGTCGGAACCAACTCAACAGTAGCTAACAACAACAGGGCCGGGAAGGAGGAAGGGAGGATGTTTCTGTTCATGACGACAGAAATTTGACATATTAATAACGACTGCACAACATGATTTGTGTACCTGGTGCCGTTAAATTGTATACAAGGAAAGTGTTAAGTTGACATTTGTATTTTTACAACACTAAAAGAGTCATGACAGAGGTGACTTCAAGGAAAAAAAGACAGCTGGAAGTTCCAAGAAAGCAGAAACCCTGTAACAGGAAAGGAGCTGGCATCGTGATAAAGAACAAGAGCTGCACTGCCCAATAATGAAAATCCTCTTCACATCTAAGAGTAAACTTTGGCCAAAGTTCCCAAAAGGCTCCTTATGGTTGCAAACAGAATGAAATGCTGACATTTTTTAATTAAATTCATGAGTGCCTAAAGCCAGAGGCTGGCGAGAGAAGTTAAAAGTAGGGATACTTTAAACCGTCTCCTCTGACAAAGGACAGAGTCAAAAAATACTGTCCATATTTGCTACAACAAGAAATTCTGTTACTTAGGTAATCTATGGAGTCTTGGTGTGGCGCTGTGGGTTAATGCACTGGGCTACAATGTCACTGAACCATGAGGTCGGTGGTTCAGGTTCACCCGACGCTCCTTGGAAGCCCTCTACAGGGTTGCTATGGGTCGGAAC